AGCCTCAGGACTCTGGCGGTGCCTGACTCATGGCTGGTGCGTGCTCTGGACTCTTGCACCATCTCTGTCATCAGCAGGTGTTATGTCTGGATGAGGACGGCAAGATGAGGTGGACGGTGCTGAGAATCAGCCTCCCTCATCACGTAGCACCGTGCATTGTGGTTCCACTGAAACAGTAGGTAGTCTGACATTCAAAGAGCCATGAGATTTTTTGATCTCCCAGATATCTAGCCCAGCTTGCACAGGGCTGCATGTAAAACCTGGGAGGGATCCTTGGGAAAAAGTCTCTCCTTTGGTGCTTCTGAAGTGCTGGCGATGGTCATGAAAGGAGGCTGAGCCTCCAGGATATTATGCCTCCAGGATATACCAACAGAACAAATGAGTTTCAAGCTGTAGGCAGTGTTCATGGCATACGCTTGCAGAGCTCTCCGTGTTGCTAGTCGTCAATAGCTCTTCCAGTAGTAAAGTGGTACAAAGATTTGAACCCTTGCTCAAATCGCTGAAATCTCAGCGCCAGATTTAAGGAGCTTGGCTCAGTTCAAAGAGCCCAGCGGCCCTAAATACAAGGGGCCCACTCCCCTGCTGTCCTGAGCTTCATCCTCACCTGTGCAAAGCACCTGCCAGCTGGCAGGCCAGAAACGAACAGGTGTTTGCAGTAAATGGGGTTTCTGCCACTCCTCCAAACCATCCTATGTCTCTCCTGAAAAAGTTGAGCTGAGTTTGCATGCAGCAGCCACCTCCATGGCCCACTTTTACTAATCACAGCCATATGCATCCCTCAGGAAACACAATGTGTGGTGGTACCTTAAGTGGGTATCATTTGCTGCTCGGCTCAGTATTCCTGCGATAGCAACCTGCCCTTTGGAGCAGCATCTGGAGAGAATAGGAAGGCAGGGAGGTGTTGGTGCAGCCTGCTAATTCTCTTCCCTTGTGCTGCTCCAGGTTGATTATCCCTGTGAAGTGGCTCTCTTTTTGTTGTGGACTTGTTATTCTCACAAAGCTCTCTGTCCCTATCATCCTTTGCAGATCGAAGGCCTCCTCATGGAGATGCAGAATCCCGACACGGGCATCAAAACGCACATGCAGAGGGTGATGATCACGAACATCCCCCATGCCGTGGCAGGTAAGATCCCTATTAGTTGCCTATGTGCTACCCTGGTTTTTTCTTAGCATCATGAGAAGACCCAATTTTTTTTTTCCCATACAAAATGGAAATCGGCCCAAAGCTGTCCACCTGTGCTACTGTTCTGCTTACAGATGTTGATCTTCTCCCTGGGGATCTGGGTGCTTGAGGGCAAAACAGAAAAAGGCTGGGCTTCAGCCCCATGTGACTTTACTCTTCTAGGATGTGCAGAAAGCTCGAGAGGGTAAAAACAATCTTCCTATTTCCTACATTGGAAATTCAAGTTTTGACCACCTGGGACACCCTGGAGATAATCAAAGATCAAATGAGCTGTTGATATCCTGAAAGAGAGCGAGGAGCACACAAGCTCCTCACTTGAGGTGGGGGGGAAAGGGGAGGGCCATTAATCAGACTGTTTAAAGCTCTTGGATTTCTTTCTGGCTTTTGTTCACACTTCTCTAGCTTTAATGTGTGATTAGCAGTGTGGAGAGAGGATGTCTGATAGATTCAGCTCTTCTCCTCAGTCACATCTCTTGAGACCCTCCAACAGTTTCTCTTACATCACATTTGACATTCCTGATATTTTAAGGTAATAAATGATCAGAACTAAGCCTCACCTCCCAAGCTTCTTAGTGGCAGGACATATCTGCCAGATGCATAGTAGTACAAATCCTAAGCAGTGGAGACACTAAGTGTCTCAGTCAGGAAAACCAGACTTTAGACTGCTTCCCGGCTTACAGCACACCCAGACAGCTGGGAAGTGGAGAATGTACAGCTGGGCAGGCCTGAGCGCAGCTGACTTTTATATAAAGGGGAAAGAAGCTTGTTTGCAGCAGAGTTTTCAATGACGAGTAAGGTGGATCCTGAGGCAGCATGAGGCCAGTGCTTATTAAGGCTAAAATGAAGACTTTTGCCATTTACTGTGGCCAGGTGGGTCATTTGCTAAAGGTGGATGTGGAGGCACGAAGGGCGCTGGGAATGCCAAACATAGGGTAACAGTGCAAATGTGTATTTAACGTCCAGTCCATCTGCTTTTCATCAGACTGGCTGTGGGGAAGGTCCTTAGCCATGCTCAGGGATGTACTAATCTGCAGCAAAGCTCTGACTCATTCAGCTCTGTGGGATTTTCCTCGGACAGGATCCTGGGACGTGGACGGGTCAGAGAAGAGTTCTGTGCCGCCCGCATCCGATAGTCATCCATCCGTTTGTGGAGCCCTGATCTGGATTGTACTTGTCTGCACACATATTAATGTTTCTACTTTGTCATTCAAAGACCAGCTGTGTTCTTTTGGTTTTTGCTAATTTACATGTACAAGTCCCTTAATGTCTAAGCAGCCTCCACACGTGCGTGTATACCAAACTGCTGGGTGTCTGGGGGATTGAGTCAAGGGTTCTTTGCACCCAAAACACAGGTCTTTACTGGGGTAGTGGAAGGAGCATTAGCTATCCACATTAGGAGGCTCTTATGCTCTATGGCTCTCTCTTGCTATGCCGAAGGCAGGTTGTTGATATGTTCTGAATAACGTCCTAATGCCATTGCATAGACAAAGCAGTGTCGGCTATATGGATGCTGTTGGCTTCAACTGAAACGGAGCGTCTGAAATAGATACCTGGTTGGGGCTGAGGAGTCAGAAGAGGCCAGACAGATGCTAGCCACGTGGCTGCAGTGTGATGCCACTGAGATGTCTTTATGACACCAGTTACATGGGTCTTCTAGGCTCTGGGGGACTATGACTAACTGACTGCCACATTTAAAAGCAGAACAAAACCAAGAAGTATAATATGGTAGATTAGACACGAACAAGACATTACTCTCCCTTTTTAACATTTTCTGGTAATAATAATTTTTCCTCGAATCACTGGAGAGGAGCAAAATATTCAACCCATTTCTATGCCTCTAAATTATAGCTTTTCCCCACTCCAATAGGCTGAAGAAGAAATAGATGGGTAGGTGTGCTTTGATGTGTCAAGTCTATCATTACAGTCAGCGACAGTCGCACTCTGCTTTTGTGCCTGCCAGCTTGTTTCTCATGGCACCAGAAATACACTATCGACACCTTCACTTCCCCATCCTAGAAACTGCCAGAGAAGCACTTATGAAGAATACTACGCTATAAATATTCACCGCTTTGCACACATTGTACTGGAGTCTCCTCTCACTTGTCTACTTCCGTGGTACTTTAAAATCCAAGACAAAAAACCTCTGAAATCAAGGGAGCTGTACAGCCATATCTGAGAGGACAGGTCAGCCAAAACCTAATTCAGCAGCCCTTCACAGAACTATTGTGGGGTTGTTTGTCCCATTTTCTGCATGTGGAAATTGAGGTAGCAGAGTTAAGGAACTTGCCAAAAGCCACAATGGAAACTTGTGTCAGAGCAGGGTGTATAGAAGGAGAACTTAGAATAAGCCCGAAGAACAGGATGTCCCCAGATTTTGCCTTTAAATAGATGCAGCTCCACTGCAGTCAGCGAAGTGATTTATGCAGCCTGAGACCCTGTCCCTCTGCATCTTCCTGTAGCATCATTACTGTGCTTTAAGGCAGCATTGCAAAGGAGGAACCCTTACTCTAACAAAAGAAATGAAACCAGCCAGGCTAAATTTGTGAAAGTGCCATGAATGCAAAAGTTGTTGGAGATAGGGCATTAAAAATAATGCTACTTATTAATAACAATCAATGACCGGAGGGTGTGAAGAGAGAGCACCCCTGTGGACTCAAGCCTGAGTGAGCGGTATCTGCTTTTACTTTGGATCCTTAGGTGTCTTCTTCCAAAAGTCACACATCTTCCCGGGCTGCAGACTGGTGCTGCTCTGCACTTTAATCATTTCTGCTTTTTAGGCTGTGACATGTTCTGTCCTCTTTGGGTTGCATATCTGTCAATTGAGCACGGTGCCTGCAAGACAGACTGACTCATCTTTCCTGCTGGAACTGCAAAGACATTGCATCAGAGTCTGGGCGGCTATAAACAGGCACCGCTCCCTTGAAGTCAGTGGGTCTGTGTCAGCTGCTTGTTTCAATGCAGGACTATCCACGGGGCAGCCAGCAGGTTGCATGTGGCCCGAAAGGGGTTAAGCTCCTGCCAGGCTGCCGCTATCCCCCATTGCCCCCTAGTCTCCAGGCTCCGCCTCCCTCCTCCAGCTGCCACTTTCCATCCCACCCCAGTGTGCAGTGCAGTTTGGGGAACTGTGAGCACACGGCATGGCTGTGGGAGGGGGGGCCCACATGGACACATGGGGTCGTGGTTGGGTGGGCCAGATATCCATGCAGCACGTGGCCCTGGGGGCCTGTGGCTTGCCTTGGTGTGCAGCCCCTGTTGTAAGGAAACTCAGCAAATTGCAAATGATTACAACTCCTTTCAGAACTGGTCACCCCTTCCCACGGGACACGCAACCAGCCATGTTTAACTTTCCCCTTTCCGGGAGAGCACTTGCAAGGAGAGCTGTCTAGAAATGAGTGATAGGATAATCCCTTGATTTGGTCTATTTAAGGAAGCAGGCAGTAGGTCGAAAACTCTGGACTCCTGGCACAAGGATAAGCAAGCAGTAGAAAGGCAGGGAAGGTCAACGTTTCAATCGGCATGGCAAAGCGACACTGGAGGGGAGAGGCTAGTCCTTGATAAGGGGCTGGGTGGATTTTAGCCTTGCCCCAGTTGAGATGGAGGGAGCATCACTGGTTTTGTTTGCTCCTCGGAAGATAATGAGAGGGGCAAGCGAAGGTTGATGGTGACTTGGTGCCTGAGATGCCAGCAGCCTGCCACGGAGCTTGGAAAGCTGACCTGCAGGAAAGGGGGCTCCCGTCGGTGCGTCTTTTCGACTAGCAACTATTGTTTGTTCCAAGGAACTTTTGAAGGCAAGAGCCTTCGGTGTCACTTGGAAGTGCTGAAAAGCCAGAGAAGCCATGAAACTACTCAAGGGCTAGGAAAGATTAATTACTTAACAGAGATGATCTTCTAATTAAGTGGAAGTAGGATTGCGCTCTGTGCATTTGGAGGTGCTAGGGGGTGATTGTTTTACGACAAGAAGCTGCCTGGTAACGGTCTCTTGTTCCTTCTTGCACCCTTTTCCATTCAGACACTCCTCTGGGACTCAGCCCTCCGCTGCCCCTCTGACATTATTTTGGATTTGATTTAAGCAGGATCTTGCATCCTGGAATTAGAGTCTGGGTGACAGGAGAACCACGCTTCTTCCCAATCTGTAAGAGTAGGCAAGAGGAAAATGCATGTATTTCCTGTGGGTGAAGTTCATCCTCGTGCAGAAAATCCCCACCGAGGTTGTGCATTGCTTAACTCCTTCCTAAGCTGATTCAGCAGGGTTTAAATGGTGCACAAGCCTTGTGTGGGCTCTCTGCAGGGCTGAAACCACCTCTCCCAGGAGGATTAGGAACAGGCAGTGCATCCGCGTATGGCTCGCTCGCCCCAGCCTTCTTAAGAGACCCCTTATTTCCACCGAACGGCTCTTTTGGGCCATTTGCCTTTGGGAAGGAGGAGTCCAAAAAACAAACACTGGAAAGTTCCTGCTTTCTCCCCCGTGATGCTCCTCCGTCATGGAGGTCCATGTTCCTGTCCTCTGCGCCAAGGGGACAGAACTGGGTCACGGTGATAAGAGCCTCTGCTGTTACAACATTTTCTTGGCTGGTTCGTTTTATCACAAAGCAGTTTGGCTTTGGGCTTTCAAAATCCAAACCTCCGAATTTTAATTGAAAATTATTTTTGTCCCTGAACACGATTTTCATAAACCCAAAATGTTTTCTCAGTGATTATTTCAAATGCAGTCTGAAATATTTTCATTTTTTTAAAAACTTTCTCAGTGCATTATTATTATAGTGTAACTTTCTTGGTGTTGTTTCAAAATCCCCAAATTCTTATAAGAAATCTTGAAAAATAGATCCCCTCCCCCCCAACCCCCCCCCCAACATTTTGGGAATAGCTGACATTTTTTGATCTGTTTGTTTGTCACTATTGTGTCTCCTCCTGCCTCACCCCCGCAGCAGCAGTCTATTGGAACAATTGAGCTATTTGGATAGGGGAGGGTATGCATCTAAGAAATAAAGCCCCTTTCAGGTTCAATTTACAAGTCTTTTCTGCATTGCTAAGTGAGAGATTTCCTGCTCTGAAATCTGAATTGTTTTTTTATGTCTCGGTTTAATTTAGGAGTCAGGCTCCTAACTGAGTTGGCTGATTCCTGATGAGCAGCCCCTTGCCTTTCACGCTGGCAGTAATAAGTTCCCAGTGAGTCACCTTTCAGAAAGAACACATCCAGTTCGCATCAAAATCCGACATAATTGGAAACGTGAAGTCCTTGTCACAAAACTGAGAGCTATTTGTCCTTACAGAAGATATTTTTAGCTATTGCAGAAAGAGTCATTAAAAGCTATCAGAAATATGGATTTTAAAATGAAGGCTTTTCAGTTACCTGCAGGCACAAGAGATGCTGTTGCAACGTATTTAAAACCTGTCGTGCAGGGCCTGACGGGGTGGCTCAGGGGACTCTGAGCACCCAGTGGGGCAGAGCAGGTCCCTGCCCCAAGGAGCCAGCAGTCTTGGCTCAAATCCTTGGCCTGCCCATAACACTTTTCATCACGGGATCTCCAAAGACTGCATGCACATTATGGTTGGAGTTCACCCATCTGGTAGGGGAGGAAAATGCATCAAATCCCCCTTTCAGTCTGTGCACCGTACAGGGCTCTACATGGCATTATCTGGGGTGCTTGTCTAGTGCTGCCCCTCTGCCAGGGCCAATTTGCCCCTATCGAGGCATGGTAACAACCCCCCTAGGAAATACGTGAGAATTATCTTTTGTTCACAGGGAGAGAAAGGGCCTCAGGTCCTTCTTTGCATCTGTGAGCAGAAAAGTCTGGGCCCACAGAAGGAAGGACATCACCTCTGGGACATGCTGTCCCTTGAATGAAACTCACCCACGTGCAGGGAGCTGGCGCAAGGCCTGTGCCTCACTGCCAGGCTATTTTGTGAGCTTAAATAGGGCAAATCCCTCCTCTTAGTCCTCCCCCTTGGGTGGAGTTTGCCTCTACTTGCAGCTGCCCCTCTCTGGGGGCTTGTTGGGGCCCCAGCTCAGCAGTTTCTATAGAGCCAGACACGGGGATTTCTCTCCCCCTCTGCTCTGAACATGATGCATTACTTATCCAGCGCAGCTTTGCTCATCGTGTTGAAGAGGCTGCTCTGCTCTCTGGATAGCTGTAAGGCCACTTGGCATCTATTGTGCATCAGAAAATCCTGAGAGGCCAAAGTGTGAGGCTGCTTGACCGGGGGGAAACCCCAGACCAAGTACAAGGGGCAGTGTGACAAGGAGGGAGGGCTGTGCTTCGATACTAAGACCCCTTCTGACAGCAAGGGTTTCAGGGGCAGATATGGCCTGACCAAGAGCTGAATTACTTTGGCAGGTGGGTCCCACCTGGATTAAATGAAAGGTCCCCCCCTGGATCCAGGGTCCCACCTGGATTAAATGAAAGGAAGCTGAGCGCAGTCCCCTGTGTTTTAGCTGCGGGTCAGTTCCCCAGCTCAAGACTGCATTTTGCTTGCTGGGACCCGCATGCACCATGGGCTCCAGGCCCCTTTTGGAGATGGTGACAGTGGCAGTTTCCTTGGAGGGCTCCCTGAACTGCCAGCCTCTTCTGATATAAAGTGTCTGCCGGTTCTTTTGCCTTGCAGGTGGTGATATACTGCAGTGGATTATCCAGCATCTGCAAATCACCGAGGAAGGTGGGTAGGAGCATAACCAGCTGGTTTTGTGAATCCTTGCTAGATGATACCTGATTTTTTTTTGCTTTTGAGTTTGCTGCAGTCCCGTTTTGTGTCCCAGTACATCTCACTTGTCTCTTTCTAGAGGCACTTCGCTTGGGGACTATGATTGTCAAGTTTGGATACATCTACCCTCTGCAGGAACCAAAGAATCTCACCCTTAAAACAGACAACAATCTCTACAGGTTTCAGGTGAGTTGCCTCGTAGCCAAAATGCTCTGGCTATGTGTAACACCGACGTTTCCGTGCTTCTGTTTAAATAAGTTGCAGCTTCAAAGCCTTGATGCTTTCTTCTCTTACCTTCCAACTTGTCTACGGGAAAATCCATAATTATTGCTGGAACACTTTGGAAGGTAGACATCATTAACGGGATTTGTTAATCTAGTAAAACTGTGTTCCATGGTTGGACTTGCCTCCTCACACAGCAAGAGATTAGAGGGCTATGATCCTAAACATCTACTCTGAAAGACATATACAAAACCTCCAGATCACCCAAATCAGGATCCAGGATCTTAATAATGTGAAGGCAAAATGTGCCAGGCTTTGGGTTCTGCAAATGTATTTCGGGTCAGTCATAACTGGTTGTAAAAGCAGACGTAGTGCATCTGGAACACCTGGTTGGATCATTCATATCCTCATGAATGCAAGTGCTGAGTGCAAGAGTGATGGATGGATTTTGTGTGTGTGTTGAGAAATCCCCTTAAATGGCAAAATAGGGGGAAATGAAAAGCTGATTTCTGGCAGAAAATGTGTTCCATCTCTTTTGTGCACAAAAATAAGTAATATTGTGTCAACCATTGCCATGATTTTAAAAGGCCAGATTTAGCGGGTGTGTGATCAGTTTTTGCCTTCTTCCTGCAGACCCCCTATTTCTGGCCTGCGCAGAAGTGGCCGGCAGATGATACCGACTACGGTAAATGTTAACTGTCCTGCCCTGGGAGAGCCGCAGCGAACGCTGGGCCATGCCACGCAGGCCCATACCGTCAGTGCTCAGTGCTGGCTGCTTGCCCTCAGGGCCTGTTGCTTTTGGGGTTGTGCCTATGCCTGGCAGCTGCTCCTGGTTCATGCCCCTGGGCTCAGTGTGTTTCTTGATACTTTGCTCTTCTAATGATCCATTACCTCTCTTTGCTTTTCTTCCCAAGACACTAGAAGCCCCGCTAGCAGAGCATGGATAGAGGGTAGAGAAGGGTTCTCAGACACAACAGCAATGAACAAAAGATGCATATGTAGAAATGCAAAAGGTATCATATCTACACAGTGGTGCAACCCCTTGGCACAGCCAGTGAGCATCCTTATTCTGTGGGCTCAGCCCTTCTGAAAGATTCAGATGTCAAGAACGGTGCTAAATTCAGCCCACTTCAATACAGTGGCTTTTGTGGTATAACAGCCCTACTCTGCCAATCCTGGAGCTACAGCCACTTTCTTTCCCACAGTTTACCATCTAAATAGACCAACAGATGCAGGCTAGGGGAAACGGGATTATTATTTGAGTGCCCAAGGGGTCCAAATCAGGCTGGAGCCCCAGGGAGTTTGTGCTTCTCGGAGATGAAGGAACAGGCCAGAAGCCAAGCGCAACCATTTGCAAGTTCTTGTTGGCCAAACAGCTTTAAAATCAGCCTCCTCATGCTACAGCGTGGGAGGATAGTTATTCTTGGACTTCTGCAGGGTGAGGGGACCATCCTCCACACACCAGAGAAGCCAAGGGCACCTTCCTGAGGAGGCATGTGTGACATTAGAGTTTGTGTGTGGGAAGGAGACCCTCAGGACAGTGGCTCCATCCTTTGTCACAGGGTCTGCATGTTTTCATACACTTGCTAATTTTGGACTTGAGTAACTGGATGTCTTCTCTTTCCCCTCAGCAATCTACCTTGCAAAGAAAAATATTAAGAGGAAAGGGGATTTGGAAGAATATGAAAAGGTAGGAAAATGTTACCTACCTTGTTCCTTTGCAAGCCCTGAGGCTGCACTGGCTTGGGCCAGCTGTTGCTGAGACCAGAGAATGGTGAAAAGCAGCATACACGCTGCCCATTTCAATTGAATGAAGCACTGCCCCTGCAGCACCTGAGGCCATAAATGTGGAAGTGAAATAGCTGCTGATGCATAAAAGTGTATAAAATAAATGATAATTTTAGTAGGGAGATTACCATCTCCAGAAGGTTTGAATGAAGTATTCAGAACGGCTGCCATTCCTATGAACAAGCCAGATTTTATATCTCCCATTGCCTGCCTGGCCTTTATTTAATTCATGGAGGAGATAATATTTGCAGCAGGGTCTCCGTGATGCAAACAGAAAGCTTGTGATTGCTAATGTCTGTGTTTTGTACTAACAGTATCTTTTTTTTTTTTTTTATCCCAGGAACACTACAACTTGCTAAATAAAAAAATAAACTACAAATGGGATTTTATTATTATGCAGGCCAAAGAACAGTATAAGTGAGTTCACTCCCATTCTCTTCTCTCCTTTACTTTGGGGCAAGAGTGGGGCAGAGGCATTGTCTTCGGTTGCAGTCAAACAAAAGAAGCAACTCTGAAAAAAATTAAATTTTCAGTTTTAAAGTGGCTTAAAACACCCACTGGGAAATGCACAGCTGGAAGCTGTTTCCATGTCATTTCCCAACCCCCCCATATAATACCCACTGTTACTCATTTGATGCTTAATGACTGAAAAATCAGCCAGCCCAGTTGACTGACTGCCTGAAAAAGCAGCAGCCGGCAAAAACCACACTGCTGGCATTTGTCCTGCATGCAAGCATCTCCCTATTTCCTCACACAATGTGGAGTCACAATGTGGTTTGTGTGGGCCAGAGAGCACGTTTGAGTGTGCACATACCCTGTGGGGACGTGCAAAGATGTCCTTGCGAGTGTTTTGTCACACATGCAAGAAGTGGCTTTTGCCACAGCATCTGCTGCAGCCCCTCTTGGAAACTTGGAGCCCAATCCTGCAAAGCTTTACCTCTCTGGCTCATAGACTAGCTTCACATGAGCAAAATGCTTTCAGCAGACATGTCATGAGGGGGCAGCAGTGAATACATCCGACCCTGAGGTGCTTGCAGCTAGGCTATAAACTCCATCTAGAAATAGCACCAAAATAGGGATGGCATGGAAGTGAAAACCCCAGACTCCCTGTGCATGCCCCCCCTAGCAATGAAGCTACTTTTACTTAATTATTTAAACATGGGCTCATGCATCTACCCTTAGCCCTGTAGGCCCTTGTATATAATGGGCTGGCAGAGGTGCATGTAGGCCCATGTTTTCCCTTGTTGCAATTGCACCAGTCAAGTCTAAATATGGCATGGGGATCACGTATACATACACCAGTTCTGCGGGTTGCTGCTGTGTGGTTTGGGTCTGGCCTAAGCTGCACATTGCAGTTGGGTTTTTAAATCAGAGTCGACTTGGGTCCTCTCAGTGCCTCAGTGAAGCTGTATGTGTGTGTGTGGGGCGGGGGGGTGACCTGTCCAACGCCATGGAGAGTGAATTGAAGCACTCAAAGCACAAAACTCTCCAACCTGGAGGCTTTGAATGAGGAACACTCTCCTGCAGGGAGCTCTCTGTGTAGCAGACACAAGCTCCCAACAAAGCCACCCATTACCAGGAGATCTGGGTAGATGAGACATGACAGTTATCCCCTGCCTGGTCATACAGCCGCTATAGGGAGTTGTGGTTGTCTCTCTAACCACAAGAATGCACCTGGTCCAGCAGAGCTCAGGAAGAAGTTGATTAATCGAAGCCTAGCCTCCCCCCTGGATTCTGGACATAGCAGAGTTACACTGTGGATGTGAGCAGCAGCTGATGTGGAGCCGTTCTGCAGGAGGCCTTGTGTCCCTATAGCTGAAGAAGGGTTTAGGAAGGGTTGGAGCAGCTGCACATCCTTGATCTCACTTGTTTTAACTGCGAATAGCACAAGCTGCTTCAATGCTGGCCCAGTCACCTGGAACAGCGGCTAATTGGAGCAAAAGTCATGTCGTCGAAAGTGGGAAATGAGCCATGCATTTGTCTGATGTTATTAAACCCTCTGGTTGGCTTTGCAGGGCGGGAAAGGAGCGGAAGAAGGCAGACAGATATGCCCTGGACTGTCAGGAGAGGGCGTATTGGTTTGTGCATCGAACACCTGTAAGTTGAGCACAGCTGCACACAACTATAAGATCTCAATTGCAGGTGAAGGTCCTGGGAGCTCTTCTGGGTGGAAATCATTTCACCTTTAGGAAGGCAACCTGGGGGTGATACCTTCTTGGCTGTGCTCCCCTAGCTGTCACAAAGGCAGGCCAGGCTCCTGGCAGCACCTGCTGCTACAGCTTCAGACCCCCCCAGCCCCCCTCCCAGCCCAGCTGCTGTTCTGTGCTGCTGCCCAGCCCATGATGCCTGGGCTTGGGGGGCATGGGGCTCCCAGACAGCTGGGAAGAGGAGCTGCCCACACCCCTGCCCTCCTCACAGGGGGCCTATCTGGGGAGGCACCACAG